AATTTTTCTAAATCTCTAGGTATTTTATTTATATCATTTGAATTTACAAATATTATTTTTCATTGTTTTAAATATTCAAATGGAATTAATAATTATTTCTTATTTCTAAAAATCAAAATTATAATTTTTACATATTTTATTATTACATGGGGGCCCATCAGTTCACATGGGCCCCCATAGCAAGTCGGTGGGGCCCATGGGAGCCCACCTAGGGTGGCACACCCCACCTTTTTTGCATCTTTTCCATATTTTGAGCTCAAGCAAGGTGGCTTGAGGCTTAAGACATGTACTTTGGAAAGGTTTGACTTTATGGAGATTTTGAAATCAAACATGGAAGGATATAAGAGGCTTGAGCATGAAATTAGAATATACAATTTTATTTTTTTTAGAAATTTAGAATATACAATATTATGATTGAATATTTTTATGTTTAATTTATTGATGAGAAATTGGTTTAAGAAATGGCGGATAAAGGTTTTAGCACCTTCCATAAGATCTTGATGGATAATCAATGGAATGGATGACTTACATCTCTCACCCCACAAATCTTCCAAGATCAACAGTACAAATTCAATCTCACTAAAGTGACCAACCCTATGGAAACCCTAGCCTCATTGAAACACTATAAAAGGAGGTGCTCTCTACCCATATGAGCACATCATCTCTCTCCTCTCTCCCATATCTCTCTTAGAGGGCCATATCCCACATAGTAGTGTTTCTCTCTCTCTCATCCCATAGAGCACTCTCCACATAAACCTAGTTTAGGTTATGATGTTCTCTCTCCCATCTTCTATCTCTCTCATAGCCTATGGCTTAAGGGTTTAATATTGAGAAGCACATATCTCATCTAGGTGCTTAAGGGGTGAAATCTTAATTTTGAAATCTAAGCTTCATGAAAAGAGTTCATGTTCCTATTAGAGGTTTGGCCCATATGATTTCCCATCTTGGAGATTGAGGTTGACCATTGATCCCACGCCATTGGAGGCGGAAACTCGGTGTGGGATGGATTAAACCCAGTTGAGATCATCTCCGGCATCCTATTTTCGTTTCTTGCCATACTTATTGATTTTATCTATTATTATTCTCAAGCTTAGTATTGTCATTTTTCTTTGATTAATGAGAGAATGATTTTAGTGGCATCAAGTTTTAGATCCAGTTTTTATTTTTCTTTGTTTCCTTTTCAAGTCAATTTATTGTGATGGACTATTTGTGAGTGATCTAGCCGGAAAAGAAAAATAAAAAGAGAAGAAAAAGAACAAAAAATAATAATACATACCCAGAGATTCAAAAAATTTCAAAAAATAATTCTAAAAATCAAATAACATTAAAACAATTATAATTAAATACTTTTTTTTATGGTGCATTACCTAGACATGATGCAACCACAATTCTATGGTGCATAAAGGTAATCTCTTGCTCATGTACATGCTTCACCATGAAAGGTGGTTCGCTTTCACAATATGGCTATCACATGTATATGCCGTGTGATGGTACAAGGATGAGGCTTTGACCCCCGTCTCTGAGAACCACCATCACACACAAAGATCACACAGTCCCTCAGCTCACTCATCTAGTCATGCTTCGACCTCATCAAGGGATGACCCATCATAAACCTTATCGGGTTAAATTCTATGCCCAGGTAACATGGGCTTTTCCCAACTGACTGGCCTAGCACGTCAAGCTCAATCTCGTATCGACAAACATCATTTGTTTAGTATGTGGACAGTGTAAGTGATCTTGCCGGTATAAGAAAAGAAAATTTTTAAATATATATACAGCATGTACCAATTGTTAACAGCCCATACACCGCTTAGGAACTGTTAACTCTTCATATATACATTGTTTATATGTCCATAAATACTAGGACAGTCCCGTATAAGCGTCCATGATAAATTTCAACAGAACACACATATTTTTTGACAACATGTTAACTATCCCTATAATGGAAAGCCCAAACGCAACAATCCATTCCCATTGCTAGACAATATGTATATACAATGTTAATTACTCTATACACACCATTTATAGAGTATGAATAGTTAACTTTGCATAATGGTGCATTTGGTCAATAAACACTATTAGCAATGTATTTGGACTATGGAAAACCATTGGTGCACAACAAAAAAAAAATCAATCAAACAAATGCAATAAAATTATTGCACATATACAAAAAGGCAATGATGCAAAATAATTGCACGTATACATAAGCCTTGCAGATTTCTGCTCTTGATTCGATTGGAAAAGTGCACTATGGAAAATGCAATTTTCAATCAAATCTAGCGTTGTGCTGGTCCTAACAGGGCACTAACAATATATCGAGAACAATGACAAAAGCAAATTAGAAAAGGAACTCATTTGATAGCATTCAATATCAAGAAAATAAAGCAGACACCAAAATTGCATTATGCATGAGACGAAAGAAAATTTAAGCCATGAATTTTGTAGAATACATAAACCTTAACCTTACATAATCAAGAGAAGCATATATCATACAAAAATTCATTAAAGAAAAATACCACCAAGTGTACCCACAAAAAATCTAGGGAAGATTACACATATATCCATTATATTTTGCGTTATCACGGATGTACTGAATAGTTTTCATTATTACATGTCTGTCCATTTTTTACCTTTCATAACGAAAATTTTTAAAAAAGATGACTTTACCCTTTTTCGAGTGTTGAGCAAACGAATTGAAGGGTTTTTCGGATGTTCAACATCCAAAAATAGCCCGAAAGCTTAACGTTCACATTCCCATTTTCGGTTGTCTGAAAATAGCCTGAAACCTTTTGGAATTTCGCAGTCATATTTTCGGACATTTTCGGATGTTCATCCGAAAATGATTTTGGATGTTGGACATCCGAAAATGTCTCGCAAATGGGAATATGGATGTTAAACTTTCGGGCTCGTTTCGGATGTTGAACATCCAAAAAACCGTTCAATTCGGTTGTTCAACACCCGAAAAAGGGTAAAGTCATCTTTTTAAAAAAATTGCATTATAAAAGGTAAAAAACAGATAGACATGCAATAACAAAAACTATTTGATACATCCGTAATAACACAAAGTATAGCGGATATATATGTAATTTTCCCAAAAATCTAACTACAAAATTTCAAATAAAAGGATCCCTACCTATGAAATAGATCAGAAATTCAAAGCAAAACCAAGTGGCAAACTGGAAATTGTCAAATGAAACAAAAAAAGATCAAAGAATTCCCAATTAAAATATCTGCCAAAATAATGTGCTTTTATAAAGAAACCCAAATACAGGAACCACAAAATAACAGTTACAAAAAGGAAATTGCCCAATTACATATAGACTATCAAAAAAGTATAAATCAATCAAAAAATATCCAAATAATAACAATTCATGTACATAATTCCCAATTTACTAGCCCAAAATTATAGTTCATGCAAATTCACTATTATAACATATCAGACCAAAAAATACAAAAACAATCAAATGATTTGAACAAATTTTTTGTAAAATAAATAGATCACGCTTACACTACAATTGTTTTTTAATTGTTCATTGGAATCATTGCACTTGATGACAGTAATTAAGTGTAAAACCTAACGCATCAAATACAACCAAAATTACTTATTTCCAAGAGATATGAAATAAATGCATCAAATAGAATAGAAATCACTCATATCCAAGATCCAAAATAAAAGCTAAGGATAAATAGGGGAAAGAATTATAATATTGGAATAAAAAGAACCCTCCATGGATGAATCTTAATGATAATTGTAAGATCACATCCGAAGAAAAAGCCATGGCCACGAGAGCTTTGATGTTGACGTAACTTTTATATATGAAAAGTTTGGCACTTAAGAGATATAAAAATTGTGAAATATAGAAACCAATACATATCAGCGAGAGATGGTGAGACAAAAAGAGAGAAATGGCAAGAGTAAGAAAGAGCGAAGAGGTAGAAGAGAGAGATAGTGAGATGAAGAGAAATGCAGTAAGACATAAAAAGAAAGACAGGGGGAGATAGAGAGAGACAAATGAATAAAGACAGGAGACAATATCGGAGAGAGATGTACTTGGTTTAGGGTTTGCACCACAAAGGAGGGAGGATGCCCCACAGGCTAGGGTTTTAAAGGTTTTCTTGGAATAGGGGCTTGGGGGTTCGATTTTGTGGGCTTATATCGAACAAAAAGCTTGAGAACTTTATGTTCCTAGGCCCCCCATGGAACTTAAACTTTCCATATTGTAAAGAGCAAAGAGAACTTATCAATAAGGTTTAAGTTCCCAATACTGTAGCAGTCCCCCATGCATTAAACATGGAACTGCTAAAGTGTGCGGTAAGATTCAATTTATGGAATTTAACCTTCAAGCATACAAATGCGCCCAGAGTGGGAGGGTGGTAGGGTGGTGGTGAGAGGAATGAAAAGGGGGACGGAAATCATCCCATCCCTCTTTTAGAGAGAGGGAGTACTGGGTAAAACGAGTAGAGAGAGCCCTTGGTATAAAAAGAGGGGGGGTGCGTGCCGCCCATTTTATAGAGAGAGATGGAGATGAAATAAACGGCGGGCCTCCCCTTTTATTCCAAAGAGTAGCTGCATCTGCCTCCACACAAGGCTGAAGCATATTAACTCGGCCGAGTCCGAGAGGAATCAACCGAGTCCCGAAACATTGATATTTAACTTGGAACAACAAGCATTAGAGGTACTATTGTTTGAGCTTCCCATGAATAAAACAACAAGCTGTCAAAAATAGCAGGGCACAGTAAAAAAAAAAACACGAGATTAACAAACTACTATTTTGAGAATAAAGAGGAAAAATACACAATAAGACCAACAGAGAGAATTACTCACGGTCCTATTGATTCACATACGTACGTTCAGGTAGCAGATAGTCATGTTTCTAGTTAAGCAAAGTGACAGTAAACCCCAGTCTTAAAATCACAAATGAAATCGTCTAAACGTGAATAAGAACACTAAAGAGAAGAGAGAGATTCAGATGTGCGAATAAAAGATGATTTATTATTACCAGGTACGAGATCCAGGCCCATAATTCTTCGGGTGAGAGTTCCAGACATTCGAGTGACCCATCTCTCACTTAGTCTGTCTTTCTCTCTCTCCAATGCCTTCCACAAACAATAAAACCCTAATTTTTTATCGTTTCAGATTGTCTGCACCCTTGAAGAAACTCCAATGCCTTCGACAAACAATAAAACCCTAATTTTTTATGGTTTTAGATTGTCCGCATCCCAGATGAGATAAGGGAAAACCCTAAGTTTTGATGGTTTTAGATTGTTCCCGACAAACAATAAAACCCCAATTTTTTATGGTTTTAGATTGTCCGCACCCTTGAAGAAATAGGGGAAAACCCTAGGTTTTGATGAAAACAACGTGCGCGGGGTTTGGGGGTTGAGCACCCACCAAGAAATGGAGGTTTGAAACCCAAATGTTTTATGAAAAATGTAAGCAGTGTTTGGGGGCGGGTTTTGAGCACCCACCAAGAAATAGGGGGTTAAAAACAAAATGTCAGCGGTATTTGGGGAGTTTGAGCACCCACCACATTGGCAAGAACGCTGGGCAACCTAACTAGGGGCCATTTCATCCGTTATGAATTAATAGGGATGTGCAAACATATGGAAAAAGTTTATATAAGGTTACAACCTTAAAATGTAGAATTACATAAGCACCTCAAAAATCCATCAAAAAAAGTTGTTTTAATGTTGAAAAACCCTCTAATTTATCATCTTGACTACTAGATGTATGAATATGAAAAAAAAAAAGATTTTGAGTCCCAAAAAGAATGCATCTTGCAACACATTATCTAGACCGTCCATTTTCAAGATTTTCATATGTTCATAGATCTTCTTGATTTCAACATTTTTGGAGTTTAAAATTTTATAATTATATATGAAAATAGATTTTGAAATAATCCTCATAATTTTTTACATCAAAATTACATGTTATGATAAAATTTGGAGGTACACTTTAATTGGCTTGTTTAAAGTTGCAACCTTATAGAAACCACACCCTTAATATATTTGTATATATACACACACAAAACAAAAAATACACTCACAAGTGTACAGCATAATAGCAAAAAACCCACTTAGCCTGTAGGGCAAGGCCGACTTACTCATTTGAGTCCGAATGGACACAGCCGAATCTCGATACACTGGTATGGAAGCTGGATGGAAGCTTCTTGTAGCCTTTGAATTCTAAGCATGGATATGAACTAATGTAATTAATTCGTGAGTATAAGCTTACCGTGTATAAAAACAAAATGTTCTTCTTGAAACTAGGGAATTTTGTCGCATATATTTAATGGCCTCTCCTGAGTTGTGGTGTTTCCACTGCTGAACATCATTTTGTTGAATTTTGATGGATCTGACTTGGTGATCCCCATCCATATAAAGTAAACAATTTTTTTTTTTTTTGGAAATGTAATATGGAAGTGAACGTTAGGGTTTAAAGCCTACGTTTTAGGATAGTGTTGGGAAGATTATTTCTGGCTTCTATGGCCCAATCGGGGTATGCTATTCTTCAGAGGCAGCAGCTCATTCTTTGCTTATAGAACTCATAATCTGTCAAGGAACATTGTTGAGTTCTCTGATTGCGGAAACTAACTTGGCCATTTTTACCAATTGGCCATTTTACCAGTGAAGTCTTGTAGAGATCTTCCCTAAAGTGCATGAGCTAGTTAGACTTTTATATTGGCCATGTAACATGTCCACCATGGGCCCACAAGCCTAAGTGTTTGTTGGCCAAAACTAGTATTGATTGCTGGAGCCTTTTGGTTAGATAGCCCATTCATAATTACCCACAGTGGGAGTGACAAGAGATCTGGGATCGAGAGTAGAAGCGCAGAGCAAGGTAGGCTCAAAGTCTATGGTTGGGAGAACGAGATTTGTACATGATCATGCAAAGGGATTGAGATCCCTAGCTTTCAGGGACTGTGTTCCACATTTGCACATGAGGTGTTTCTTATCTGCATAGGAGCTTGTTTCTTCATAAATGGGATCACATTTCACTATGCGTAGGATCGACATTCTTAAAGTTCACTGTCCCCTCTATTGTAATTTGGGTGTGAATTATAATGAACAATATGTCTAACTTTATCCAAGTTCACAAACCCAAATGCCAATATAAACAAGAATCATGTCATTGAAATTCTCTTTGGATTTTCTTGTCATCAGAGTTTGATTTCATACAACTAGTGATACTTAGAATCAGGCACAAAGGAGCTTTGTGTCCTTGACATTGGTGATCTCGCCCTCCCTCTCCCTCCCTCTCTCTCCCTCCCTTCCTCTTCCCTCTCTCGTTTTTGTACATGTTTCCGTTTTCTAAGGGATACCTTTTTTTATATAGAATGTTGTCTGAATCACCATGTTTTTATATATGTGGCTTTTTTCCATGGAGCCTCCAACAAATGTAATTTTGGACTAAATAGTAATACAATCGAAGGTTTACTGCATTGAACAGTTCCCTCTCTCACCCTCCCTTTCTCCTCCCTCTCTCTTTTTGTACATGTTGCCGTTTTTTAAGGGATACCTTTTTTTACCATGTTTTTATATATGTGGTCTTTTTCTATCAACAAATGTAATTTTGGACGAAATAATAATACAATCGAAGGTTTACTGCATCGAACAGTTGGGGTTTGTGATGATTGGAATGCACTCATGGATTTTAATAGTTGGGGTCTTGATGAGAAGCTTGCCATTTACTTTGAGTTGTTACTCAATACAGTCAGATGATTTGCGATCCATTAAATTTATGATAAGATCTCTCTCACACACACTCACTCTCTCTCTCCATGTTATGTGGAGCATCATCCTATTTTATGTTTGGAACAAACCTCTCTCTCTATATTCACATGTAGGGACCCCACAATTGCATAAATGAAATTTAAGTTGTAAAGAACTGAATAATCCAAATGAAAATATATTAATAAGAAAGTTTCTTTACAATGAAATGAAATATAATTTAAGCTGATTGCCGCTAATTTGGATGAAATACAATAAAAAAAAGGGCAAATTATTTAGTCATTTATCTCAAATACTGCAAATGTAGATTTTCAATACATGCTTCCTAGAATCCTCCAAGGGAAAAGCTTGCGTGCATGTGCCCTCTTTCCATTTCAACACATGCTTCCTAGAGACCCCTAACAAAGCCTTGCTCTAATATTGAGAAATTTCCTTAAGAAATTTGTTTGATGGATTGGTTTGGAAGAGAACCAACTAGCTCATGATTGTCACATGCAACCAAAAAATTGATATCATCGTGAGATAACACCTGATAGCTTTTCAATCTGCAATAGTCCACATCAACTGTGAGAAAAAAAACTGATGCAACCATTGTGATGACATTACCATATTCAAATGAATTGGCCAAGCCAGCTTAATTGTCCAATTATCATCCATGTATTCATATTAAAACAGGTGTAGGATGAAATTCAGTCCCAAAGCCATTTCAGACTCGTGCTCTGCAATAAGATCAATTATATCTAATTCAAGTTGCTTGATTCTTAGCTCAATGTCCTTACCCCCCACAAACACACACTACTAACAATTATTGTGCTTAGAACTTATGCAACAAATATCAAGAAGAGTTATGATGGTCTCAACTCTGCACATTAATGAAATTCATAAAAAATTCCTTAAGAGATTATAAATAATTCTAAGCTATCCTTGAAACAAAGTTACAAAATACGAATCAGTGACTGTTTTTCAATTTGCAATAGTCCACACATAGGCAAGATACACAATTACCTCATCCTTGTGATCAAATATAATTAAAACCATCAAATACAAATAGAAACATCCTTGTGGATCATGAGATAAACTAGCAATAGTGCAATGTGCATGACCTGATGTGCCATATTCAGCCCAATACTCACCATTCCTTGCAACATAAGTATTTCATTTGTGAATCATGGTTGGATTAGACAATGTGTTTTTGGAATTAAATATCTCAGACTAATCTGTCAATGAACAAATCGTATATTTTCATAGAACCATTCCATCAAGTTGAGATATATTGAGGAGGATGTAACCACCAATTGGCCACTCACTCTTGGTTGTGTTACATAGAGAGATTTTGACGAATAGTAAAAGAAGTTCTAGAATGGGAAACATGCAAATTATTTGCAGGAAAATAGGGGAATCTCTGACCATCACTATACTCAATACATGCCAACTCCTTAAACCCTTGTGTGTTTCGTCTTGTGCCTTCTAAAACAAAAAAAAAGGCAATTCACTTTACAAATGTTTTACCCTTTAAGAGTTAAAAGCTCAAAAGTGCAGGCAAGAAGCTTGAAGGTGCAGGATAGAAACTTAAATTTCAAAGTTTTCTTTAGTTTAGTAGAAATAACCATTAAAACCACATAAATAACTAAAATGTTCAAATGGAATCACTTCCAGCAATTACCTTCCAACATGCAAAAAGATCAAAAAGTAAATACTCATATACAAGGGCTTAATTTGCAAAGCATCTCCATTGATTGCTTCAAATTTTCATTATCAATTACCTCCTTAGTTTCAATAAAAACCATGTATAAAGTCTAAGACATTCACTCAAGATGTTTTCAAAGAAACCCAAATTTCAAACTAAGAAATTTTTCCAGGAAATGCTTCAGAAAAATCCATACAGTGCTCTATAAATCCCACAGTAATCGATAAAGAATTATCGACTGTAAAAAAGTAATTTACAGGAAAAAATAAGACAAATAAAGGGGAAAAGAAGGGAAAATGACCTGCTACCGTACAGCTTATTCTGAGCTTGAATCTAGTGTGAGAAAGGGTGGGTTTTCTTGGGAAGGTGTTGTAAGAGGAGAATGAACAGGGCCCCTCAATACAAGCCATCTCCTTTCACATACTTACAGTTTTCCCTCTGAAGATTCAATAGATTCAAGCCATAATTGGTTTCTAAGTGCAAAGCAGAGAGAGAGAGAGGTCAAACCCACATTGATCTCTAAGTCCAAAGAAGACAGAGAGGGACAAAGTTGAGGAGACAAGGATAGTAAAGAGGAACATGGATTGAAGATCTTACCCTCTCTCTTTCTCTCTCCAGTATGCAATCACCCAATATATTCTCATGTGAAGAGGTGATCTAATCCGTTTGTTGCTGGCAGAAATTAAGGAAAGAAGGAACACACATACTTAGAGATTTCTCAATATCTCCCTCTCCCAATCTGGCTGATAGCCAAAAGTGTGATGGAAAAATACTAGTAAATTAAGCACATTTTGAAGAAAGAGTTTCAAATCTTTCTCTAAAAAATCCGCAGAGAGAGAGAGTTCCATTCGTGGTCGACTCCACCATTTTATCGTTTCCGACCTTTTTCTAAGAAATCCGCAGAGAGAGAGAACCCTTTTTGGTCACCGTGGAGAGAGAGAACACCCACCTTTCATATTAAACTAGAATAACTTTTTGTTGGTTATATGTGGACCATCATATTAAACTAGATCCTATGGTCGATATAAAGCCACTTCACTGTCTCAT